AAATGTTGAGTTCAGACTAATTTTTTCTGTTCTGTTTCGAAAAACTTCGTTACAATTAAATGGTGTTTCATCTGTTGTTAATGAGATGATTCTTAAATAATCTCCAGGAATTGATATTTTTTAATGGCAGAACATGCGATTTCAATTGGTACATCAAATAACATATCGTGGTAACCTTTAGGGTTTCAAAAATACTCTGATTAACCTGCTAAATTAATTTCAACGCCATTTGAACAAACTTGAAAATAAGTGTAACTCTTTTCATACGTTTTTATGTCGTTTTGTGTTTGCTGGTAATGTGACAAATTTTTCGTTGTTGGATTGAATCTATCATGGAGACATAAGTATAATCAAGTGAAAAAGTCATTTGCAAATACTGAGTTTGCTCATTGTGAGTTTTCATGCTGTATGTTTTGGTTTACTCCATAAAAACTTGCGAAAAACTTATATCTCTTTTTCATCGGTTTGTACGTTATTTGATGAAGTACTATTATTTGGACTTCGTTGTAAAAATTTAAAAGAAAAAATTCCATTTTGTGAGGTTATTTTGCATAGGTTGGGTCAGTAGTGATCAAGTATTTGTCTTTTGATCTTTTCTTCTGGAAATTAATTTTTGCATGGACTATCGATTTTGTGAAGAAAATTTGTTTTGAGATTCTGACAAAATGTACTTGTCCTCGTGGTGGATCATTATCTAGGTGTATGGCAATTGGCAGGATAGAGTCATCCTAAAAACATTCGTCGTGTTTTTGAATCGTTTTTTATCAAGTGTTTTTACTGTTAATGTATATTAATGTCTTATGGGCTGATTCCAGTTTTATGTTCGAACTGATTTATCTCTGTATGTTTTTTATTCTTTCTTGATTTTTAATGATGACGGTGAAGTCAATAGAATTAGGAAAGTGTCTGTCGTCTGAATATTTTGTCTGATGAAATGTTAATGGATTTCTGAGTTGTTGTAATTTAGGTATTGTTCATTTGATTCTGAAACTGCAATTGTTTTAGAAGTTGCTTTCACTTTTAATCAAAACTTTTCTGTTTTGAACGTTTTCTTGTTCTTAAAATAACCAGTTGTTTGTGTATGTGATGTTTTTACAAAATAACATCGAAATATTTTAGTTTGATCATATGGGATATTTTTTATTTGTTTGTTTGCTGTATTTGGCATTGACGTAAGTGTTAGGTTGAATAATTGATGCAAAACCCAATGGTTAAATGCTCATTTTTCTTAAAGTGTTAGTCCTTACTTAGTCCTTAAATGTTTTGTAATTGTTATCCTAAATCCTCTGGTCGTATATTTATTGTGGCAACACGGGTTGGGGAGAGATTAGATCGAGTAATTTGAATGACCTGTATTGTTCTCAAACGTGTGGAGTTCTCTGTATTTATGCAGTCTTGATCTTACTTAAATGGTGAACAATATCAGATCGACGATTGGAGAATCTACAACGCTTCATATCTGGTTAGAAGACAAGTAGATCTTTAGATACTATTATGGAACTTACTTAACCTAATAATTGTTTTAAGCATTAAAGGGTTGGATTCTGTTTGAAAGTTTCAAATTCAATAGATTCAAGGAAAATAGGGTTTGAAAAGAAAATAGTTTATGAAAATTAAATTAAATATCTTAAATAATTTCTTGTTGATCTTCTTACTTAAATGTTTTTAGGGATTTTAAAGGTGAAGGTGCAAGGGGATGCCTTGATTATCTTACAAATTAGATTAAGTTAGTTTTTGAAGTATAAAACTCAATAAAGTTAAAAGTTTTTTTTGTTATTCAATAGTTCTCTAATGTATGTTTTGGATATAGGACAAGTTGACAAAAAGTCAAAAATTTCTGGTGTTCAATATCAAAAAAATTTAAGACTATTTGTACTTCTGTTTTTTAGTTTGTTTTTTGCTTAACGTATACTGTGAAACAAACAATTTTTCAGAAAATTTTACTTCAGACTCAAAGTTTTGAGGTAAACGAGTTTCAATAGACGTTTTGATGGTTGTAAAAATTTTAGTTGATTGAGATATTGGTATACTTATGGCCCAATTTATGTTTTCACATTTACGGCTCAATTCGATGCAGTTCACCATAATAAAATTGGATTTCACTGCGCAAATAAATTATTGGCCACTACTGTCGTTTCTGCTTTATTTTCTTGTTGCGATGCAATTTTACTTTTTTCGTTTTGTGATGGAGGTTCATTATAATATTGGCTTGGCTTGATTAGACATACTGCTACGGGGAAAAATATAATTTTTGTTTTTTTTTGTTTGGTTGAAAATCGCAAAAACTAAGTTGGTTGTGGGTCTACTCGAGACTTGTTGGTCGCACATGATGACATTAGGTCCAAGGTGGCCTTCTCAAAGGCTAATTTTGGATAGGCCACACCATATGTTTCTCATGCTATCTGTTTTTGGCCGGATAGGTTCGTGCAACTCAATAGTCTAATACCTGTCCTAATCTTACTTTCAAATCTTACGTTTCCTAGTCTCGATATTTCTAGTGATATACTAGTTTTATCGCAAAATTAGAGGGAAAAAGAAATTAAACGATTTCAATCTTTCTTCATTAACTATCTGAACCACTAAGGTTTCAGGTTTACAAATCAAAAATGGGTTTCATCTATAGATCATGATTGGTTGGCATTAAATTTTTCTATTTTTAAGAAACAAATTTTATATATTTTTTTAAAGTAAATGTAAAAGAGTTAGTTTCAAACTGAATCAAGTACAAACTTTGATTGTTTAATAACAATTTGAAAGTATCAGAAATTCAGATTTCTTCGAGTTAGTGTAGCGTGAATAGATAAAGAGGAGGGTCTTCTTTTCTACGCAAAAACTTTGTTCTTTTCAATAAATTATTAGTTACTTGGTGTTTTTCACGAATTTAAGATGGTAGAAACTGTGGTTGGCTAATAGGCTGCAAGTTTGATTTTTTGATGTGAAAACTGAAAATGTCTTTCAATAGACAGGCGTTCTTTTTGTTTTTATTTTTGATCTGTTTTTTTTGCAATGATAGCTCTAAAATCTAAAGATAGCTCTATAAACTTTTATTTATTAAATCTTATTAAATTTTTTAATTCTACCAAATTGTGTTTCACTATTTCCAATTTCCAAAACAGTAATAAGACTTTCTAATCAGGCAAAAAAAATAACATTACGAGGCCAAATTGTGCATTTTGTGCAATTTAAGCGGGTTTCGCAATAGGCCAAATTCAGATTTGACGCGGAACCCGCAACTTTGGTACTTTTCGTTGATCTTCTTCGCAGTTTGGGATTCCACGAACAATTATCTAAGACACTGTACTTTTCAAAATTGCTTCAAAATGGGCAATTTTGCGGTATCCGCAACCGTAATTGCGAATCCAGAACAGTTTGTGGAATCCACAAACAAATAAAAAGACATTGGAATAGTTAAATTGAGTTGTTGCGGATTCAGCAACAGAAAGCGAAATCCGCAAATTGTAAGTGGAATCCGCATTTTGTTTGCGGATACCGTGTGTAGTATAGCGTTTGAAATTTCATCTTGTATTTACCAGATGGTCACCAGAAAAATCAATCTCAAGTACTACATTGATCAACTACCAGTCGAAATAACAAACATTTGGTCTCAATTCCTGCCGACCCAACTTCAATCTCAAATTCTGTCAAATTTGACCTGAACTTCAATCTCAACTCACAAGAAATCGGAACCGATTAGATCATCAGCATTTGGTGTTGATGGATTCCCAAAAACCGACCAGAATTTGAGATTTAAGGAATCCCAAATACTGACTTAGTTCGGCGATATGCTGTGCATTGTGTTTCCAAACACTCTCAAGCCAATGACTACAAATAATGAATTTATTCGGTGTTTCCAAAATACTAAAAGGTGACATCCACCTGTTTGAATAACAAATGTTTTGAGATTCGTTTGTAGAGTCCGCTTACAATGGTTAGGTCCTTGCCTTTAAATTCCGCATTGCTATAGATAAAATTTTCAGCACTAGCTTTGAATTGTTTATATGCAATTCACTAAAAAACAAACTTCTGAATCCTCTTACAGTTTGCGGAATCCGCTTACATTTGCGGATTCCATTTATATTTTGTGGAATCCACTCACAGTTGCGGAATCCAGAACAGCTAGCTATATTCGCTTGCTGCGGAATCCGCGGTACAACTAATGTGCCGACAAAATTTATGTTACAGGTTTTCAACTTCAAAATGGGTAAAATTTAGCCTCATTGTCGAATAAACAAGCATGAACTTTTCGAAATGCAGATTCAGTTTAAATTAGCGAAGTGTTTAAAAATTAAAAGAAGGTACGTTTTTTACGGCAAGCAGTTTATTACTTTTAGCAAATCGGTAATTAAATAATATGTTTTAAATGCGTAAGATTTTACTGGTTTATCGGATGTAAGTTTGATACTTTGATTTAAGCAATCGCAAATATTCTGTAGATAGTTAGGCGTTTGTTTGCGTTTTTATTTTTGCTTTTTGTACAATGATAGTTGTCTCAGGGTACTTGTTTTTCTTAACAATGAAAATGGGGAGAATTTTGTCCTCGGCTTTTTTGCTGCTCTGCAAAATCAGCTTCCACAATTTATAATCAGAATGGGAGTCTGGCGTATCATATTCAAACCTTTCAAGCCTTTATTTGGTCGGCAAACAATTTTAAAAAAGTTTTTCAGTGTCGAGAAAAACTGGTTTGAAACGCACAAAAAACAGAAATCACAATTTTGAAAGAAAAGGAAAAGATTGGTCTTTTTTAGTTTTTTATATTAATTTGGTCGGCACTTTCAGTGCTATCTGCATAAGAACCGTCGACTTTTTTAATATTGCTCATGCTAACTTGGTTAGATCAGATACGGCCAAAGGTAACGTCATTGGACTAGCTAATGACACAATTTACATCAAACTGCAAGATTATTTTTAATGATTATTTTTAATAGTTTGAAAGCAGCATGATTGATATTCTGTTTTTGGACAACAGTGACACAACGCGGCATTGTGATGTGGCCACTAATGAGCATGCTGCTCAACTCTTACCACTGCGCGTCTTCATGTCTTTTGATGCTCTTCTAATTTTGGACAACTATCTAACATACCTCGCTCTTCAGTCAATTTTTTTCTCAGCGAATATAATATCGAACTTAACTCAACTATTATTCAAAAAGTAAGCACTCATCAATGGTTTCTAAGAGAGTAGCTCTCTGTACGGCTTCAGTGCTGTTACTGGTTCTCAGTTTTGTCTGCTCCTGTTTCGCCCACTCAAATTATGGGTTTGAAGAGGGCAGTGAGCACGGGGGACTGTGGAAGCGTTGTCACCGCACTCATGACGTCACCGGATGCAGCAATCACGGTAACTTATCTCATCTCAACTTTTATATCCTGTAATCCAAAGTTTTTTCTAAGAAAACAGGTTCCGGTTTTCAGTTTCCAATCCCTTTAGAATGACTAGCAACTTGTACAGCCACAGTTTCTATTTGAAGTCAAAAGACTAGTAGTACCATACTTAAGGCTGCAAGAATTGACAGCAGCTCCACAAATAGCGAAGAAGATTCAAACCTCACTTGATTTTGTAGCATTGATTGACTTTTCCGTTTTTTTTTCTACAATATACTGAAAGAAGAAGGGGGAGGTTTTTGAGTCAAATATATAATGACATATACATTGAGGCTTAAACGCAATGCAGAGGTTATTGAAAAAAGGCTAATAAAGTTTAAAGAAATTTCGGATTCTGGTCATTTTTTGACTTCCTGAAATAAAGTTTGTTTCATATTCTATTTTTTTTTAAATTTCTCTCAGTATTGAGAAAAACTGTTCCGAATTTTCTTGTTTTCCAGTTACTTTAACTGTAATTGCCGATATTTAACGAAATTTTTCTTAACTCAATGTTCCTCTCAAGAAACAAAAATTAATATGAACTTTAAACAAAAAATTGTAAGAGAAGTTTTCTCGTTTTTTTTTTCAGTTTTTGTTCCGACTTTCGATACGAAAGTAACAGAATATTTGTGCTCGGGGTGGGTTTTTTTTCTTCAGAAAAATTTCGACATTTAACTAGCCCATTTTGACGGAATTTTTTTATATCATTCAAAAGGTATTGTTGTCCTGAGCTTAAATTTGAAAAGATATTTTACCTGTGATCATTTTTCGTAAAGTTATGAGGGTTTAAAGGTTGCCATTTTTGCCATTTTGACCAATTTGGGACAATTAACGCGCGATATAATTCAAGCTATTAACGCGTAAACGAAATCTATCCTTTTGTACTTTATATGGCGTGTGGGGGGATGATTCTCATAAAAAATTTCAAATAAAAAAAATTTCAATTTATTTTATTTCATTTAATTTTTTTAAAGTTATTACTGCTCCATAAACCTTAAAATTCAGTCGGAACATTCAGGGCTTCGCCCTGATCCGAGCAGTTTTGTCTAACTTTGGAGCCCTTCATGTCTAATAATATTTCCTTTCTAAGCACAATCCCTGGTCGTGAAGCCTCGTGTCGTCGAAAGTTTGATCTTATTACTCCTCTGTTCTTCTTTTCCCTAGCATTCAACAAAATAACACAGCGACGCCTCAATTTTGATCGTAGTATTGAAATCAATTTTTCATAGAAAAGTTCTTTTATTGATTGGTTATATCCTCATGGTTCCGACTCATTTCCGGTCGGTTCAAAAGTCTCGTTCTGTTGAAGTCTTCCACCATAGTTTGTTATTTCCTTGCTCTTATACGATTCTCGACTGTTGCTTCTCCTATTTTGACGTCTGGCGTAGGATTATGTAGAGTCTCTCTTGAGTGTGCCATCAACTGATAGCTGAAACAATATCTTCGACCCACTTTTCCTTTTCCTTTTCTTCTACTTGCCACGAATGGGATTATTCTCATGCGCGAAGGACCAAATGAGCGAAAAAAACTCGTGAGCAAAAGACCAAAAATAAAATTACCCGAAAGTCAAATTTTAAAAAGAATTAAGTGAAGCCATATTTTGCTTCTTTCATAATGAAACCCTTGAAATATAAAATTTGTTCCATTTCAAGCGGTCAGTGACAATTTGAAAATTTTGCAAATTTCTGCCGTCTTTATATTGGGCGAATATCAAAATTCAGTCCCTGGCAATGTTTACTTTCTTTCCAAATTTTAGATTACTGAAATCTGATTAGCTAATTTTTATGTTCGCGCATTCGGTCTTTTGCTTATGAGAGATTCCGCCGCAACGAAATACTTGCCTCTTCCTCTTTGATTCATGCTTCTATCGCCTAATTGAATCTCGTGTTCTGTTATCATGCAAATATAAAGTTATGCCTGTTTATTTGTCTCCTTGAAACTTCAACATGGTAGGTTACGTGTGACTATCCGTGTTCATTCCTTCTGCATAACTTTTTATATTTATTTTGTAGCTTCGTCTAAATTCTAATCCGCCAGTAAACCCACGCTATAAACTCAGGCAATTTTTTCGCATCTTTTCCACTGTCTATAAGTCTGAGCCAATTCCAGAAAAAGGCTTTGCGTAAATTAAATCTTCTATCGTGCACATCAGCCCGTTTTCTGAGTGTGTTTTGTTTCGATTCATGTTTATTACAATCTCATTTAGTTCTGGGTTCGTATTTCCTCTCTTGATAACATGTTGCGCTTCCAACCTTGGTGGCACATGCTATTTGAGTGCTTGTGACGCAGGTTTTCTGTTACATTCTTGACTAATATAAGCTCATTTTCCATCTGTGATCAATTTCAAAGTTCCATAATTTTATAAGCGGAACATTCGTATCCTTTTTTTTCCATTACTTTGCTTCTTTTTAATGGTCGTCGACTTGACTCTAATTTAGTTTCGTTTTCTCCTAACCTTTAATTTAGCCGCATTATTTTCATTTTCATAATTTTTTTCGTGTTTTTTACACTTAAGCGTAAAAAACACGAAAAAATATGAAATTGGAGACAAAGTTTTAGGAGAATAACAATGTTTTAAGAAGTGTAAAATTGCATTGTATTCGCTACTGCTTTTGTGTATACTCGAAGCAAGTTTATCTCGTTGCGGTTGAGCAGTCTACTGATTTCTGGTTATTGTTCCGACTTTCGATACGAAAGTAACGGAATATTTGTGCTCGGTGTGGGTTTTTTTGTTCAGACAATTTTCGACTTTTTAACTAGCCATTTTTGACAGAACTTTTTACATCATTCAAAAGATATTGTTGCCCTGAGCTTAAATTTGAAAAGATATTTCACCTGTGATCATTTTTTTGTTAAGTTATGAGGGTTTAAAGATTGCCATTTTGGCCATTTTGATCAATTTGGGACAATTAACGCGCGTTATAATTCGCGCTATTAACGCTTAAGCGGATATTTAATCCGTCTTAAAAATCGTTCCAAATTGGTTGAAAGAAGCTCATTTGCCATAATTGATTTGTTACAGGGAACGAAATCTATCCTTTTGTATTTTATATGGCGTGTGGGGTGATTTTCATTTTATTTGGCGTGTGGGGTGATTTTCATTTTATTTTATTTCATTTTTTATGTTATTACTGTTCCATAAACCTTAAAAGGTAGTCGGAACATTCAGGGCTTCGCCCTGACACGAGCAGTCTTGTCTTAGTTTATTGTAGTGCATTGTTCACATAATTTGTTTAGTATGGCAAAAATCGATATACATCATTTTAAACAGTCGTGGCTGTTTTAACAATGAATAAGGGCACTACGACGAAACCTTTTTCTAGCAATGTAATGCCCCAGGAACAACAATTTTAATACAGAAGGAAAAAACTCCAAACAAAATTTGTAAATGTCAAAAAGAATCGTAGCATTAAGGCTTCTTTATCTTTCAAGAAATTGTTTTTAAGCGTCTTAAGTATAGATCGCGTTGAGCAACTTGCATTTACAAACATTTATCAGGCAGTTACTCATTAATTTCCAGAAAAATTTACACTTTAAGGAGCAAAATACGCAAAGATGTTTTCTAGTTTCAGTGCATACTACTGGCAGATTCAGAATCAAAATCAAGTAATTTACAAACAGCTTATCCAAGATATTGTAAAACCACCTCTTTGAAATATATACCAGGATCTTCTCCACTTTTGGTGGTGGGAACAAAAAAGTTGATTGTAATGAATTTGTCTGACAAAATAAAGACTGTTAGTGGTTTAGATTCGAGGATGCTGCGTGGCGCCAGGGCCTTCATTGTGCTGGACCATCTCGTGTTTCTCTTCCTGATTATCTTCCTCATCATATTCGTCTTCAAACAATTCGCCGTCCTCGCAATAATTGTCTCAGCATTCTCTCTTCTCCACGGTAACTTTTTTATATTTGTTGTTTTCGTGTGTCTGTTTTCGACTAACTTTTATTCACGAACGGGATTAAAGGATTGCGACAATATATTTAGGAAGACCTAAGCTTAGTTTTGACTCTCAGTTGTTGTCTTTAGTAATATTTATCGCAATTGGCTGTTCCGTTATGACGGCCGAATTCAGAAGCCAGAGTTTGAACATCAGTTGGGGCGTCGGTTTGTCATGGCTGTCTTGGGTGCTCACGATTCCGGTGTTCGCTATCAATTCTGCCCTGACCGTAATAGCATTGCGCAACCACAGAGAGAAAAGGAAGCAAAAGAAAGTCAATAAAGACAGAAAAAGTTCCAGAACAGCTTATAAGAATTCGAGAAATCCTAAACGAGTTCCCGATTCGAAAAGCACAACCAGTCTTTCCGAGATATCTGCAGAATCTAAAGAGTCGACCGTTGTCACTGAGACGGCAGAAGTTTCCGAGATCGAAACAGTTCCGTTTGATGACGATGACAAGCCCTGTTATTCCGGATCATTGGCTCAAAAACTAGGAATGATGCGAAAAACAAGCGTAATTGAACATGGCGAGGTAAATGGAACGTATTCAGATGATGAATGACACATTCTTTGTCACAAATTTGTTGATTTAGTTTTTAGTGTCTTTAAAATTTATAATTGCGATCGCTGATCTTATGCTAACTTAAGATAGAGAGACATGTCTGGAAGTGGTTCTTTTTTCCATTAACTTCAGAGCTCAAAAATTTGACAGACTTCCTCAAAAGACACTCAGAGCACATTAAAGCAGATAGAGCAATGATGTACATGATGTATTAACGGGGGATTGATGGAATTTTGTAGGTAGGGCCCTTATGGGATTCTAAACCCTAATATGGAAGATTGACCTCGGTGTGACCTTTAAAAGACTTCTGGGCGTTAAGGGTTAAAAATGCATAGAAAGCCCTGGGTTAACACCGGATAGTGGCATATTCCGCAATCCCCAACCCTTGGGAATGGTAATCCGTTACCTTACTTATAATTGGGAGGGAACTTACCTATTGTTAAATGAAGCAGAAGTTGAAAGGGAGATACGCTTTTAGATTACGACATCGAATTAGTGGAACACTATTTAAAGTGGACTGAGAAAACATTGAGTTCAATTTAAGTCGGCGAATGAGCTATTAGGACAAAATCCAATCAGAATAAAAAAAGAAGTAGTCCCAGAGAAAATTGGCAGATATAGAAGCATAGCATGGGAAGTAGGTCTCCTAAAAAACACCATTGATTGGAACTTTTACGCAGCTGGACGGAGGTGGCTTTTTAGTACAGTTTGACCACGAATAAACGAATTACGTTCCTCTGATAGCTAGAATGTCGGGATTTGAATAGAGTATGGATCGAAACTTCAGATGCTTGGAATGAAGTAGCGACCTATAAAAAGGTTATTGCCCTTCCCTCGGGAGGTGGAACGTTGATGAGATAATTCAAAAAAAGCTTTGGAGAATAATTAATTTAACATAAGTCGGTTTGGAGGTGAAAATGGACTTGACATTTGCACAATTTAGTTGGAGATATCTATAACGAACTTGGAGTTTAAGACTATTGTCATAAGAGGACAATTTCAGTTAGGAACTTGCGAGAGTGTTACCGGATTAAATGGCAGGATTTGTAGGAATGACCACGTTTCTAATTATGACTAAATAGAAAAACTCTTCGAGATTAACAAAAAGCCTACCCTTAGGCGGAACAATTGGTACTAAGATAGACTTTAGTTGGGTTTTGTAGTTAGAGGACAGATTCTAGGGAGGCTGGAAGAGAAATGCTCAGCTGAGCGATTCTGTATATCAGCGAGTAATTTAGCGCGTTAGTGAACCGGCTGATCCGAAGTTAGATTACGGGTAGTTGCAATAGGAAAGTATCAGGAGACTAAAACTGTTATCTAGTTAGTTTAGTTGATTAAATCCGAGTTTAGTACCGGGTTGATTTAATTGCGCGAATGAGTTGCGCTGTAGAGTTAGTAATCGTTGGCGATTTTGGAATCGGGTCAAGTGAAGACCGAAGATTGAGTTGACGAAGCGATTGAACAAAACGAGACGCGGGTTTCCTATAGAAGTAGTTAAAAAAAGTAAGTTCATTAAGGAAACTGTAAATTGTTTTCTGTTTTCTTGGTGATTGATTAAGAATTGACCTATTGAGCCCACGATTTGCTGAACTAGCTAGAAAAGCCAGAGAAGCGCCAGAGAGAGCACAAACCAAAAGGGGAAGTTGCGTAACCCCTTGATCGGCCGATTTAATCTGACCATCAACATAGCCCTTTCGGGATCATAGAACACCTAGTATTAGTGTAACCGCTAGTACAAAGTGAAATTACCACATTTGTAAAGTTCTGGTGGGTTTGAAAATTGCCAAAATGGGTATGTTCTGTACTAATTTATGCGCTCTTTGAATAGTTTATTCATAATGCTGAAAGCATAACGCAAATTTTTTATCCGTGGCGAATTATCTCGCGCAACAAAATCGTTCCAAATTGAATTGAAGCTAGCTAATTGGTCGTATTAGTTTTGTACGACTCAATCTTCTTTTTCTTAGTTCGATTTTGTCCAAAATGTACAGGTTACGGTCGATATGAATTAAGGGACAGTCGAACATACAAGGCTGGATCAAGTGACCATTCCCCCAGATAGACCAAACTAAGATCTTCTACGCCAGCATTTAATACGCATTAAATTTGCGAAGCGCTGTATGTAATATGCTCGATTCTGATTGGATGAAAATTCCTACTCTAGAACCAAGTTAACATGCTCCCCCAAAACGGCTTTGGAGGAAGAGGATTTCAACTTGATCCTCACGCCTTAGCCCTGATAAATAAGCACTCTTAATCAAACTTTCGTAACGAAAGTAACGGAATATTTGTGTTCAGGGTGTTTTCTTTTATATCATTCAAAACGTATTGTTTTCCTGAGCTTAAATTTGAAAAGATCTTTCACCTTTGATCTTTATATGTAAATTTATGGTGATGTTAAGATTTGTTTTCGGCCAATTTGTGAAAATTAACGCTCGATAAATTTCGCGCTATTACGAGTAAGCGGAGATTTAATCCGTCTTACAAATCTTTCCAAATTGGTTGAAAGAAGCTTATATGCTGTAATTGATTTGGTACAAGGAGCGAAATCTATCTTTTTGTATTTTATATGGCTTGTGGGGTGATAATTTTCACAAAAGATCTCAGTCTTTATAAAAAAAGTTCATTTTGTCTTATTACGTTTAATTTTTTTATGTTATTACTGCTCCATAGACCTTGAAAAGCAGTCGGAACATAGAGGGGGTCGCCCTGATACGAGCATTCTTGTTTCAATAGTCGTTCAATTAAGCCAAAAGTGCTGACAGTTTCGACAGGTGGTTTGAACGAAAGTGTATTTGTGAAACAGTTTGACAAGGTAAAGTTGACCGACTTTATTTAATTAGCTTGTAAATCATATCTAGAACTTCCAAAAATTGTTAATTAACCTAATTTTGAGCTGTATAGCGTGCGCAAAAATTCACTGCATGAAAATTGAACAAAAACGGTTGATCTTGATGAAAACTATCAATAGCCATAATAGAGTATCAATATGTCATTAGGTTGCAGTTTTTGTCTTCAGAACTTCCATAAAAATGACAAGGTACTCCAAAACAAAACAAGAATACACTGATGAGGGGCAAATAAGATTGTTCTGAGTTTTAATCATACTTTTGTCGACTATTCTGAAAAAAGGGATAGGGGCGGGGCTGCAATAGTTTAGGTCCGATGTGGCCTTCTCATTGAAAGTTTTCGGATAGGGTATACTATCTGTTCGTCGACCTATATAATTTTTGGTCGGAAGGATTCGTGCAACTTCTTAGTCTACTATCGATCCTAATTTAACTCTTATACTTTGTAGTCTCAATAGTTGTAGTATAAACTGGTGTATTTGCGAGGTTAGAGGAGAGGAAGAGTAACTTCTTTCTAAGTTAAGTTGTTTCTTCTAAAATTGAAACTATAGATAATATCAGCTTCATATAATATCATAAGTTTTAAAAACGGATCATGATTGGTTAGTTCTAAACATTTTAGTTTTACAGTGATGATTGTCAGAGAACATGATTGGATATAAAAGACTTGTTTTAAACTGATTCCACCCATCTAATTATAAACTGATTTAAACTGTTTGTACGAAGTTTTTTAAATCAAAGTTTTTTTGTGATGGATGCCTGGAGTGCAATTCTAAAATCGTTTGATGATTCCTTGAGAAGAGTAGTAGTTGCACGTGTCCTTGAAATATTTGCTGTTGAGAGATATAGTGTTCGGAGAAAGTTGCGGGGAGTCAAGAGATAGTATCGAGGCTGCAAAATCGTGTTAAATATGTGTCAATTTCATAAAGTAGAGCGCTACTACGTGAATTCTTGACTGTTCGTTTGTCAAAAACTGAGATAGTATTTGACTTCTTTGACTGAAGCGCCAAGTGACCAGGATCCGTTTTTTGAGTTCAGTTTCGATTTGCCCAGTTCTCTTGTTCAATGATTACCTTTCCTGCATTTTTGGCTCTATACTTTTTATCCTGCAAGTGTTTTGACTGCGGCAAGCAAAACCAAAAAATTTGACATTCCAGAGTCGGAATGTCGTCGAGTTTTGTCTCATTTTGCTGCTCGTTTCTTTCCTTAAATCTTTTACATTTTATTTGTCTGCATCTTATTGTAACGGTTTTGATTATGATCTTCGTTATTTATTTTTGCAAAAGCGTTTCAGTTAGTTCGGTTATTTTAAAGAGTTCTTCACCCTAGAGCTATTATGAATAAAAATTGTCGGGGATCTGTGTACATGGTGAGCACATGTGCTTTGAACAACGTCTGATGGGTTGGACCAGTGGAGTATACTTTTGAGTGTCGCTATGAGTAGAGTCTTCATTTATGTGTAACTTTTTCTTTCTTTATTATCAGGTGTTTTTTCTTCTGTTCTTTTCGCTATGTCCCATGATGATATGATATGATATGATATGATATGATATGATATGATATGATATGATATGATATGATATGATATGATATGATATGATATGATATGATATGATATGATATGATATGATATGATATGACATGATATGATATGATATGATATGATAGTTTATCCAATTTAACCTGGTTTAATCTGGTTCAAGTTTTGTAGGACTTTCCTGTACATGTTATCAGTGCATTGGTATTGGTGAGATGCGTTGTTTGTTTAAGCTTAGCTTTCATTCCTTCTTCCAGCCGGGCTTAGGGAAAAGTTGAGATGTGTGAAAGCGAGTTAAATTTGTTATCAGTTAGTTTGCCTAACTAAAAATTGGTTTCTTCACAGATATTGATTTGAAAAATTATGTGAGATTGTGGAAAGCAGTGGATGAAATATGGGCGAGTCAAATTGCAAATTGGGGAGTTTAAAACATAGAGCACATATAAAAAGATGAGTTCTTATCTTAATTCCTTGCTCATTTTTATTTCATACTTTGACAGAAGTTTTACCGCATAGTTTTGTTAATTTTACTGCTACGTATAAGTTTGTTTTCATTTCGAGAACTTACGAGGTTTAGTTCGAAATTTTTTGAATGTTCTACATAAATCTCGATTTTTTTTTGTTTTTTTTTGTCTGTTAGTAACTACTGGCAAAATCTATTTCAAAATTGGCGAAACACACAT